TCTTGGAAATTTGCTTAATTGTTCGTTATATCTGGCCCATGATCATTATTGTCAGGCAGCTCGCTTAATTTTACGAAAATATTACGAGAATGAAAAGCCTTTATTTCCCAAATCATTGCTAGATCCTAGGTATGCCATTAACGTAGGTTTATATTCCAAATATTATAACTTTTGTTCAAGAATTTTCATGAATTGTGAAAAATAACAATAGCCAGCAGTGCCGGTGTTTTCAAAACGATTTGGAAAGGCTATTGAATTGATGTTGTCATGTCGATCTGATGTGCCTAGATTCAACCAATAACGTTTGTCTGTGTTGAGAATGGTTTAAAGAGTGTTGGCAGCTGTTTTTATAGAAAGGTTACATTTATGGCTGGCTGGGATATGAGTTAGGGACGGGAGGATTCATGTTGATTCACGTCGTTCGTAAATAGCTTTGCTTATGTTTCTCTCCTGAACTTCTCCTGTGCTTCACTCGTGCTTCAATTGCAAGGGTTAATTGTTTTTGCTCCGGGTCAGGGCACAAGCAGGGTAAAGCCATTGGCCAGCCCCCTCCCCACCCCCCCTCGTGGCAACAAAATGGCGGCTTTTTAGAATTCATACGGCCATGTATATTCAAATTCGTATTTTACTTTCGTAAAATCAAAACGTTGAATTTGGGCTTCCTTCGGAAGATACTGGCTACGCTCTTCCGGGTTTTCCGTTCCCCCCCCCCCCCCCCCAATTTATATATTCCAAATTGGAATCCAGTGGAAGAAGAGACACCTTGGAATCCACTGTTAATTCCCATTAATATTATTCTATGTGGGTGGTAAGGCTTGGGGGGGATTTAGGGGAGATCACATGGCTTTTAGACAACATGGGGGGAGGGGAACGTCATCGAAAGGAAAGATCATCAAAAATAAATATGAATGAATGAATGAATGAATGGATTAAACATCAAATATATTATGAAATCAGCTAAGCAATGTTTTCAGACTGAATGCGCACTTCCGATTAACCCTTGCGCAAATTCATCCACATGTTTACAATCTGACTCGATCGAAATAGACCAAATAAACAAGTCCTTTACGAGGGTCCTGAAGCTAGGTAAAATAATAGATTGGATTCACCTTTTTGGGGCTGGGAAAATGGGATTTTACGCACTGGGAATGGGATTCACATACAAAAACAATCAAAAATGGGAATGGGATTGAGATTTGAGCACAACATAGGCTGGGACTGTGGGATTTGGTTATAATGGGGGCTGGGAAAAGGGATTAGGATCTCACTTTCAGTAACCTCCGTTACCCGACCGATCGATCAATCTCCATCCGACCAGACCGCAAATACAACGGTCCAATCATTTTTTTACGATTTCCCATAAAGTCAATTATATTTAATCTTTGTTTAAATGTCTTTACGTGCCCGAATATATATGGAAGCGTTCTGATTCAAGTTGAATATTATTCTAATATGAGGGCTCTTAGGATAGGAAGAATATCCTTAGATAATCTCTGCTTATCTTAGATTTCTTGTTATGGCTTTAACTCCTTTTTCGTCTACTTCCGCTCATAATTTTTTTAAAGAATATAATGATAATAATGAGAACAATATTTTAAAAAAAACATAAGGCAGAAAAATGCACGAAAAACTGAATGGAAACGTGTAAAAAAAAGAGATAAACTAAAGCTTAGAAGATGATAAGTTTTATCACAAAAGTAAGCGGAAAAAAAATAAAAATAAAAATAAAAAACCGGATCGGATTGCAC